AACATATCTTATCATAATAGGTGTGTTTAGTTTGTAATTGCTAATTAATATCTCTTAGATGTTCATTTATATAGGATAGGTTATAATATTTATCTAGATTACTTGAATATTTTTAAAGTTTACCATTCAGATAGAGCTCAAATCTGAGCAAGTACTTACACTGTTTTGTCTTTAAAGAGGACGTTAAATTTTTGGTGAATGTTTAAGAGACTATACTTAATTTTGTCTTTATTTTTCTTTATTTTTATATTTTCCTCCATTGCCCTAATTTTCCTTTGTTTCAAAAAAAAAAAAAAATTAAGGAGCTTTATTGGTTTGATGTGATTGAATTTTTTTTTAAACAAATTAAAATAATGATATATGAAGTGTTTGCTTTAGTGTTCTCAAACAACTACTAACAAGTTAAGATAATTATTAATTGTTGATTTTAAATTAAATTAATTAAAAAATTTAAATTATAAATACTAATAATTATTAGAAAAAAGAAAAATTAAAACGTTCTGATATTTTTTAATATCAAAATGTCTAATAATGTCATATGATAAATTTAATAAAATTAATATCTTTACTATATCTCACATATTTAATGATTATGATTAAATATCTTGATATTTTTAATATCAAAACATTTTGATTTTTTAACTGTAAAATAAAAGCAATTATTAACTATCAATTATATCTTAATAGCTAATCTAAACACCTATATATATATAGGCAAAAACTCAAAGCCAATGAGTTCTAATCCATTTAACGGTAGTCAACGGCTATGATTTTTGAGATTGACATTTTCCTAGGGTTGGAAACCAGTAGCGTGGAAGGAGCACATTGAATGAACCAAATTCATATCGTTTGGACTATTATTCATTTAACCATTTGACTCTATATGAATATGTGAACCACACGGCTCACGTGTCTTAGAAGTTAAACATAAGTTAGATTCAAACTCCTAACTTTAAAATTGTTTAGTCTCAATCTTCATTACTGTATCGACTAGAGGGGCTACCTTAGCAACCATTTGACTGCTTTATGTATGACTAGACGTTTCTCTTATCAAAAAGAAAAAAAGATGAAAATATCTAACTACTTTATTTCTCATTACGAATGAAGTTATAGTTTTGAAGCATCTAGATAATTTGATGATAATTTCTTTAATAAAAAATTTAAATTTAAGTTATATGATGCATAAATAAAAGTCATAAATTAAAAGATAACAGAGGATTGCATCATGTTATGCATCTAATCTAAAAAAAAAAAAATAAGGACATATATTTGGGGTGTGGTTATTATTACCGTAAAAAATGTTAAGACTACTAAAATTTTAGTTTTTTTTATTGATTTTTATTTATTAATTACTAAATATCAACTGTTTTATTAGTTGTTAATTAATAATTATAATATTTAATAA